TCAGTTTTATCCAAGTTGCTGTTAGGGACCATTTACATGTCAATCTTATCCAAATTGCTGTTAGGGACCATTTACATGTCAATCTTATCCAAATTGCTGTTAGGGACCATTTACATTTCAGTCTTATCCAAATTGCTGTTAGGGACCATTTACATGTCAATCTTATCCAAGTTGCTGTTAAGGACCATTTACATGTCAATCTTATCCAAATTGCTATTAGGGACCATTTACATGTCAATCTTATCCAAATTGCTGTTAGGGACCATTTACCCAAATTGCTGTTAGGGACCATTTACCCAAGTTGCTTTCACAAATCATTTTTGGCTTATCAAAGTTGTTCCTGAGAATGTTTACTGATTAAGTTTATTTGAGTTAATTACGTAGACACATAAGTGCATAAAAGTTTTTAATGTATAATTGAACCTTTTGTTGTCAATAATGTAATAATTTAAAACCTCTGACAAGAAAATTCTAAATACATACATGTAAGATATTGTTTATCATAAACTAATATTTATTACACTCAGTAGCTGCTAAAAATAAAAATAAGTAAAATAACTAGAAAAACTTTGAACAGATCAATCAATCAATCATTCTTTCAAACTAGTAAGGAGTTGGTTGCTTTTATATAAAACACATTCAGTTATATCAAATGTTTGAAAACTTACACATTGTGTCTGAAGGGCAACTTTAGCAAATCCAGTTCTCCTACCCCAGAGGAGGTTATAATTCTCATCACTGAACTGAGCTTCAAGAACACCACCAGGAGCAATGGCCACTAGGTGGCCCTCACGAACTACCTGGGCACATGTTTGAACAGATCCAGTAAAAACATGAAACACTTCCATCAAGAGACCCCAACCTAAAAGATTCAACATGAAAAGCACCAAACCATGTGATGCAGTTTGTTTTAATACAAAACAGGTATGTTTACTAAAAAAACACAATGACATTTGGGACTTGATAACCCTTTCCAGTGTGAATTAAGTGATGAATATGAAAAGTTCAGTAGTTCATATTTGTATTTAAACCTTAAGATCTAACTATATTATGGTTAACAAAAAACACAGACATTTGGGACTTGATAACCCTTTCCAGTGTGAATTAAGTGAACTTGTCACAGCTTTAAAAATGATAACCATAAAAGTTGAATGTCTTTCAATTAGTAGTGATAGATGAGACAATGAAAACTACAGTCACCATGATTAGACAGTCTGTTTACAGCCTACCCAATACCTAACTGTCTCTCTAGATAGACTGTCATCAGATATATGAGAAAACTGAAAGTGAAAGCAAAGAGGTTGAACTAAGAGTGATTGTGACGTGCAAAATGTAAAAACATCTTTCAGTTATATCCACCTATAGCATGGATGCCAGAAAAAAAGGCATACAAGATACACGTGGTGTGCCAGTTTTTGCATGATATAAATCACTGTTGTATTAAGACTCATGAATTTCATTAAACATAATGTGAAACAGTTTCTTAAGCTTTTGATACGAATTATCACTGGTATCGACTTTCTCTGTGTTTTTTGTTAACCATAATATAGTTAGATCTTAAGGTTTAAATACAAATATGAACTACTGAACTTTTAATATTCATCGATACCAAGTAGAAGGATTAGAAAACATTCCATCTGAAGGAGGAGCCCTGCTGATATATTATCATGGAGCAATTCCAATTGATTATTATTACTTTGTGTCTAAGTTGCTGATTCACAAACAAAGAGTAATTCGATCTGTTGGCGATCGGTTTCTCTTTAAAATACCAGGTAACATCTTGTTTTGTTTGTTTGGTGAAAAGATTTTAAAATTGGAACTTCTGTATTGAAATGATCTGCAGGACCTAAAGAAAGCCTCAGTACAGAAGTGGACATCATTTCAGCTTCTGTACTGAGGCTTTCTTTAACATTCAGTTGCATTCCATTAAAGTTCTGTACTGTATTAATTGATATAATTATAATTTCTATTACTTAGATAGTTTGAATAATCCAAAAGAATAATAATCAGAAAAACTAGTTAAATATTTTCATTACATCAATGGATCTAATCATAATTTTGAGTGATTATTTTACATGACACTAATCAGTGCAAAGTTCGGGATTATAATCTTCTTTATAGATTTAGAGGAAGTAAAGTGATGTGTATTTTATTGTTTTACTTTCAGCTGAAATGTGGACAACATATATATATAACAGGCAAGTGCTAAGAGATTGTTATATATAACATTCTTTATAAAGTTGTTTAAAAACAATTCTTACCATTGTAGAGTTACTTATTTCAACAATATATTTAGAGATGAGGGATTATTGGGATTTGCTAATTGATTGATTGATTGTTGGCCTCAAAAAAAAAGTGTCCATCACATTTCATATTTCAATAACGACAGTGGGCATTATTTAGCTTTGTGTTTAACAACAAACAAATATCATGACAATATTTCAGTTATTTGGATAGTTGATGTAATTGAAAATAGTAATTATAGGAAACACTAATTTTAATTATTTTATTTTCACGAGTTGTGACAGACTTGAATTATTCAAAAATACTAATATAAAAATCACAGTGACAATATTTCGATTACAGGATCATTGGAATAATGGAAAACACTAATTTCAATTACTTCATTATTTTCATGACATTAACTTATTTGGTTCTTTTAATAGAACTATTGGCAGAGTAAATGTAGAAGCTGACATATGGACAACATTTGAACTTCTGTATTGAAATGATCTGCAGGACCTAAAGAAAGCCTGAATACAGAAGCTGAAATGTGGACAACATTTGAACTAATGTATTGAAATGATCTGCAGGACCTAAAGAAAACCTCAGTACAGATATATAATATACACCTGGAAAAAAGTTAAGCACCCCCAAATATTTTTCAGGATTGCTTATTGAAAATAAGGTTTAATTTTCACGATGTTGAGCAATGTTCATAATTTCGAACATAATTAAAAGGATGTG